AGGGAAAGATAATTTTGAAAAAGTAATTAGTTTTTTTATGAAAATTTTAAAAAATTAAATGATTTAAACTTGTTCATGCTAGAAAATGAGTGCAAAAAGTCATGAACTAGCGATCTTCAATCCTTGACTTCCAAATATTAAGTGATTCGTATTTATAAAAAGAACTTTAATGTCAAAGTCGGTAAGTTATAGGAGTGATTAAGTGTTATGTATGTTACGTAGCTTAAAAATATCCGATACAAGTGTATTTTATAATGGAGAGAATACTAACGTTTAGGATTTGGTCATTAAATGTCTTAAGATTATTGTTCGTTAATAGACTACATCTTGACATTGTCTAGTAATGAGTCCGAATACATCTTAACCATTGGACTTCACTACAAAACTAGCTCTCTTAATTAATGTGAGTTAATTTCTTTTTTGATTTTATTCATAAGCAAATTTAGTATTTTTTAACAAATATTTAATTAAAATTTATTAAAAAAATTATAAGACAAAAAAATATTAAATAAAGAATAAAAGTCACTTTACATTTTTTAAAAAAAATTAGTTAATAATAAAAAATGTATTAAAATTATTTCGTTAACATTTCCACTTTAACTTTTTACCTTTTATCATTTTAAGTACGTATATTAAATTGATGATCACATTCTTTTCCTTATATAAGTATATATTCAATTCATGACCACATTTTTTTATTCACCTTTTACCATTTTATATAATTTATAATATTAATATTTTAGCTTGCATATTTCACAAGCTAAATGTATTTTTTTTATGTATAACAAAATTTTATACTAAAATATATATACAAATTAATGCTACATATGAATAATATATAAATTATATTTAAAATTTATATAAATAGATATAAATTAATAGCATAGAATTAATGAAGTACTGCTAAAATCATCCTGCAATTATCCTATTGCAATTGGAGCATTGTCATGAACATAACTAGCATGACCAGCCAAAGTGAACTTCCTCGTAAAATTGAGCTACCTGATAAAAGTCAAAATATTAAATAACAAAAAATAATTATTGAAAAAGTCAACGGAATTATGATATATGACAGATTATAATTAAATGCTAGTTTTATCTTTTGATATGTGAAAATCAGACTTGATACCAAGAAGTTTATAACAATTCATGCATAATGCACAACAAAATAAGCTAGACCCCTTTGATAGATTGAATGCTAGTTTGGAAATCGTTTTGTGCATGTACTATTTACTCTTACAATATATAGCTTGACAAATTAATTTCTGACCAAGTTAGGAAAACAGTTTTAATTGCAATTTTGATAACAATAGGACCATATTCATGGCAAAAGAATAAAGAAAGTCTGACTTTTCAACTGTTTAAGGTAGGTCTATTAATTGAATCAAAGTTCAGTTTCTCTTGTGATTTTAGAAAAAAAACAACACATGCATGGTCTCAATGAAGACCAACTTATACAACAAACAAAACTTCTGTTTGATAAGCAAGGTACGGAAAAACCAAATGCTGAATTAGTCATTCAGTTGTGGCCTTACCCTCATTTTTACTGTTGTCATTCAATGCTGGTGGTGCAGAAGTAGATGAGTTTTTGATTGATATTCCAAGTTCAGAACAACCCATGCCAATAGAACCTTGAACAGAAATTTCAAATCTCAAGTAAGTTATCTTCAACTACTTACAATGAGACATAAACCTATTTGGTTGGACTTTTCTAGTACTTTTAGGAAAAAAAATGAAATAAGTTTCTTCATAATGTAAAATTAACTTATACATAAGTTAATTTGTAGAATTCTCGTTAGCTTTTCCAAAATCTTATTTTAACTTATGCATAAACTAACTTATGGAGAAGTGTATTTCAATTTTTCTTCCTATTTTTTTTTTCTTCTTAAAAGTGCTTCTAGAGAAGTTTACTTGAATAAGCCCATAGATCAAAACATTTTTCCGCATCAACATCAACCACAGAACATATGATTCCCTTAAAACAAATGGCACTAACTATATGTGAGGTTTTTAATCTTACATTCCATGAAGCAAGGGAAGGCAGTGACATTTAGGAGATTGTAATAGCCAGCATCACATTCACAATTATAGGAGAAGATGGATGTCTTGTTGCATGAGCCACCTCCACAATCAACCCAATGGCAAGCTACAACAATAAGGCACCAACAAATTGCTATGCTATCTCCAAAAAACATCACATTGAAATATGAGATCCATATAGTTATATCTTTCAATTACCATCAAAAATTGACTCATTGGATTTCGGTGTCTTATCTTGAACAGGGGCAGGGGCTTTGGAGCAAGAGTAGTCCAGTGTACCTACAGAGAATTTCATGCAAATGTTTCAACATGTGAGAAAATGAAATACTTTCGAGAGAAATACTAGTAACACTCTAAATTAGTTAGACCCAGTAAGAGACTATATTAGAAAGTGTGTCAGGGGTCAAGTCTGTTGCTAGCATTCTTTGTACTTTTAATAGTCACAAAGAAAACTCAAACACCATTCAATCATAAGTGAAATCTTAATACAATAGTGACTGTCTATGTTTATTATATAAGCTAATGGCTAAACTCGATGCACCTGCAACAGAAACATCACTGTTGTCATTCATAATTCATTAGTAAGTTTTAGAGTTCCATTTGGCACTTGCTAAACGTATAAACAAAAATTATAGTCTGAAACAATTTGCCACAAGCATTGCATGGAAGGTTCAGTTGTGTTGGATTAGTCTATTACAATTTTGCATTTGTACTTAATTTTATCTCAAAGCTAATGAAAATTTCGAACAGATTATCATATTATAGTAAACCTCTACTCCCACAACTTTAGAATGGGATTACATTACACTCTTGCAAATTTAAGATTAATCATCTTGGAAATTATGCGACAGTGGACTGGACCATTATAAAAAGAATAATTCAAAATCTTCAGATAGTTTTGATTGCTTTTATCTTTTCAAAACAAATGCATATATTTTTTTTTTCATTTAATACTCAAAAAAAGTTAATATTTTGTGTTCATATTTCTTCAACATATTCTTCTAAAATCATCCTGCAATTATCCTATTGCAATTGGAGCATTGTCATGAACATAACTAGCATGACTAGCCAAAGTGAACTTCCTTGTAAAATTGAGCTACCTGATAAAAATATAAGAGTTTACTCATAAATAATTATAGTACATAAAAATTAAATTACATAAAAAAATTCATAAAATTTCTTTTACTTAGAAAAAAAATCTTAAAAATGCTCGTATAAAATAGTCATTCGTATTCATATTCATTATATACAAATTGATGTCTTAATTTATTCCAAAATTATTTTAAGTATTCTTATATGATGACTTTAAGAATTATGTACAAAGAACATAATTAAAAATATATAGTTTGATTAATTTTATTTTTTTTATGATAAATAACTTTAAAAGTAATTAGTATAAGAATCAAAACTCAATATGCAATACAATTGTAATCAAATGATAGTCTAATACTCTTATTAACATTAGACTATTTACTCAAAATAGTAATTAATATTATCTGAAATTTATAAATATAAATATACAAATGAATAAGAACAATTTTTTCTTTCAAATACGAAGAAATTTAGTACCCTATTTTTTTTAGGAGTAACAATAGTTCCAGTTTTAAGGTCAAATAAGTAAACTTAATTATTTTAAAATTTTTATTATTAAAATCTACTATCTGATTATTATAAAATATATGTATGAGCTAAAGTGAAATATTTGTTTGCGTTGAACTAAACTGTCATTTTCTCAGAAAATGAACAACTCTTCCATTTTTCTTCTTGGGCTCCATTTACATTAATCCCTCGTAGAAAAATGCTATCACCTACGCAAGTTGCAAGAAAATAAAACAATACAGAAAAATTCGTGATACTGGGGGCCACAAAATGTTGCGAGACTCACAACAATCAATCTCATCACATTAATATACTCTGGAATAATTGTGTTAAGAGAATAGAAAAAAAATATGACAAATCGTGAACTAGATATACATAACTTAAACTGTAATGTATGCCTTATTCATATGATCGTCAGTCCTCATGAAATTAATAGCATAGAATGAGTACTGCTAAAATCATCCTGCAATTATCCTATTGCAATTGGAGCATTGTCATGAACATAACTAGCATGACTAGCCAAAGTGAACTTCCTTGTAAAATTGAGCTACCTGATAAAATTCACACTATTAAATTATTGATAATTAATTTAAAAAATTAATCTCTAAATATTTATGGACATATGAATATATAAACTATATTTGTTTTATAAATTAATTAAACTAATATTTCAACATGTGCAATACATAGGTTAAATAATTATTATATATAACTAAACTTTATAATAAATTATATATACAAATACATATTAAGTTTGGGTATATAAATTATATTAAAAGTTTGTATAAATAAATATTTTTAAATATATACATCATATTTTTTATTATAATAAATAATTTATATTGTAATACAAGATTATTTTATTTATCGATAATTTATTTTAAAAATATTATAATTTAATTATAAATAATTAAGATAAATAAAAAAACTGAATTAGATAAGAATAGTTAAAAAAAATTCTAAAACTTTTCTCATGAAAGAAAACTTCCTAAAAATGCTCTTGTGCAAGAAAGTCGTTTATATTTAATATAAAGGGTTGATAGTAAGAAGATACTCTCCCCTTCCATAATAAGAGTGGTTCTAGGATTGTTTTACACAGGCTAAGAAAAGTCAATTAAATAGATAAAAGGGAAGAGTGATTTGACAAAATTAGCCTTAAGATTAACTTTATTTACTAAAAACTATGCAACAAAATAGTCATTTTCTAAATAATAGGACTAAATGTGATTTTGGCTCCTCAAGTTTGATTGTGCGATTTTAGTCTTAAAAATTTAATTAAACAATTTTAATCCCTCTATATGATGTTGGTCTAACAATTTTTAATTGAGTAATTTTAATTCCTTCAAGTATTACAATTATACAACTTTAGTTCCTCCCAATAAAAATCTAAGAATTTTAAAATTATATGATATATATATATATATATATATATATATATACACAACTGTTGACATACTTAAGTTAAATATTATGATTTTCATACACATTCAAATGATATACAATTATTATTACTAAATAAATAAAATTTATACATATTATTGATATTATAATATTAGTGATATATTAATATTAGTGATATTACTAGTATATTTATATATCATGTCACCTGTTAACGTCACATTAACCAAACTTATTAAATTTTTAATGAAAGAAACTAAATTTGCACAATTATAGTACTTGAGAGACTAAAATTGCTCAATTAAAAATTTAAGGACCGAAATTGCATAATTGCAATACTTGAGGATTTAAAATTGCTCAATTAAATTTTGGAAACTAAAATCACAATATTGCAATACTTAAAGACCAAAAATGCATTTAATTAATCTTAGAGGAAGTTTGATATGCAAAATGTTTTTACATTTTAAGGAATCTTAAATTGGGAATCTTAGTTTCCTATATTTGGTAGCTTTTTTTTAATAAGAAAAAAAGAGATTCCCAAGAATGTAGTTTCCTAAGAACCATTTTTATCCCACTTTCCTACAAAAACATTTCCATGAGAGGGGTGGGAGTCTAATTTTCCTGAGTTAAGGAAAAAGTTTAATGCATATAAAAAAAACACAGTATCCTTTCTTTGTTTTTATTTCTCTTTCTCTCTCTATCTCTCTTTCACTCTCACTCCCCTCTCTTCCTCTCTCCCTGTCCTCTCTCTCTCCCCTTCTATTTCTCTTTCTCCCCCTCTCTTTCTCACTGTCACTTTCACTCCCCCCCCCTCTCTCCCTCCAATATCTTTGTTTCTCTCTCTCTCTCTCTCTCCCTCTCTCTCTCTCTCTCTCTCTCTTTTTCTTATATTTCATTATTTCTTGACCTTGTCAATTTTAATAATATTATTAAAATCAATTTTGATTCTGTAGTTTAATGGAATTTGTTAAAAAAATTTAATTTATTTTTTTTGAATGAAATGAAATATATATTTTTATCCTTTTAATTATTTTGTACCATTTTTCTTTGTTTATTTAAATTTTGTTAAATTTGTATTAAATAATTTTAACTATAAGTTTTCAATTTTTTAAAAATAGATTAATGTCATATTTTTAGTAATAAGATTAAAGTATATAAATATATATAATAAGCTTATTTTTAATAAAATATATTTTTGTAAAAAAATATTTATATTTCTAGGGATATAGTAGTATAATCAAACATGAAAATATTTAATTCTTAGGAATCCTATATGACTATTCCCAAGAACCTTTATGTGTAACCAAACATATTTTAACTATTTCCATGAATCATGATTCTCATAATTTGTAATTTCTAGAAATCATGATTCTTGGATATGAAAAACTTTTCTTACCAAATGTCCCCTTAAAGAATATTATTAGGGGGTGTTCCGATATATGTAGATGGTCACCAAAGAATCCTTACGTAAGTCGACCCATAAAACTCAATAATGGGACGATTGTAAGGAGGGTCAGTCCTATAGTGATCGTAGGGTACACAACCCTCTGGACTTTATATGTTTAAGCACTAAAAATAATATCATCAACATAAATTTATACTACAATGAAATAGTTTCTAGACTTTTTCTAAAAGGAGTTGTGTTAACTTTACCTCTCACAAAATCATTGTTTAAAAGAAAGCTACTTAGACTTTTGTACCAAGCTCTTGGGGCTTGTTTGAGACAATAAAGAGCATTTTTTCAATTTTAAAACATGTTCTTTGAGATTTGGGCTTTCAAAACTAAGAGGTTGTTTAACATAAACTTCCTCTTCATTTATTCCATTCAGAAAAGTTCTCTTTATATCCATTTGAAATGGTTTAATATTTTTGTGAGTTGCAAAAGCTAACATAATTCTTATAGCATCAAGTTTGGCAACAGGTATAAAGGTTTTAATGATATTTATACCTTCCTATTGATTGTAGCCTTGTACTACCAATCTAGCTTTATTTCTTACCACCTTACCTTGCTCATCTAACTTGTTTTTGAAGACCCATCTTGTTATAATGATGTTTTGATGATTTCTCTTTAGAACTAGAGTCCATACATCATATCTTTCAAACTGATGGAGTTCTTCTTCTATAGTTAGAATCCAATCATTATCACTAAGAGTTTTGTCTATGTTCTTTGGTTAAATGTTTGACACCAAAGTATAGGAAGCATTATCTTTGAGAGCAAACCTTGTTTTGACACCTTTAGTCCTATCTCTAAGAATCTTATCCCATGGATGATAGTTGACAAACTTCTAATCTTTGTGAGTTCTAGTAGGTTTG